GGGGATTCACGCTCCATTAGGAAGACCTGTCGCCTTTCTCGGACATCTGCGAGTAGGCACTTTGCGAGTCATGGAACGCGCTCGGTGAGACAAGGCTCCGAGGAATGCCGCCCCCCCCCCCCGGGCCAACCCGCGCAGGGCGGCGGAGGCTTGGCGCATCTCCTCCTCCTCCTCCTCTCCTCCTCCTCCTCCTCCTCCTCCTCCTCCTCCTCCTCCTCCTCCTCCTCCTCCTCCTCCCTCCTCCTCCCCCTCCCCTCCCCCCTCCCCCTCCCCCTCCCCTCCCCCTCCTCCTCCTCCTCCTCCTGGGGACGCAGAGAGCCCCGGGAGAGGTCAGGGCTGCTCCCCACGCACGCCGCGCCTGGGGCCACGGCACCCTCCGACCCGAGGCGGGCAGGCTCGCGCGGCGCGCTGCCAGGAAAATCCCTGGCCGAGCTGCACAGGACGCGAGGAGGAGGAGGAGGAGGAGGAGAAAGAAGGAGGAGGCGGAGGAGGCGGAGGAGGAGGAGGAGGCGGAGGAGGAGGAGGAGGAGGAGGAGGAGGAGCGTGGAGGAGGAGGCGGCGGAGGAGGCGGAGGAGGAGGAGGAGTAGGAGGGTGAGTAGGAGGGTGAGGAGGAGGAGGAGAAAGAAGGAGGTGGAGGAGGAGGAGGAGAAAGAAGGAGGAGGCGGAGGAGGCGGAGGAGGAGGAGGAGGAGGAGGAGCGTGAGGAGGAGGCGGAGGAGGAGGAGGCGGAGGAGGAGGGTGAGTAGGAGGGTGAGGAGGAGGAGGAGGAGGAAGAGGAGGAGGAGGACCCCGCAGAAGAACAGAGGGGCCCTGTTCTGGACCGCGGCCACTTTCGTGGCAGGGTCCGCATGCGTCAACGCCAACCATTTCGGCGCACCCCTCACACGGTTCGTGGCCCCACAGGGAGCTCCACCGAAGGCTCCAGTGGCAGGGTCCGCATGCGTCAACGCCATTCATTTCGGCTCACCCCTCACACGGTTCGTGGCCCCACAGGGAGCTCCACCGAAGGCTCCAGTGGCAGGGTCCGCATGCGTCAACGCCATTCATTTCGGCACACCACTCACACGGTTCGTGGCCCCACAGGGAGCTCCACCGAAGGCCCCAGTGGCAGGGTCCGCATGCGTCAACGCCACCTATTGGGCGCACCCCTCACACGGTTCGTGGCCCCACAGGGAGCTCCACCGAAGGCCCCAGTGGCAGGGTCCGCATGCGTCAACGCCACCTATTGGGCGCACCCCTCACACGGTTCGTGCCCCAGCTCCACCGAGGCTCAGGGTCACGTCAACGCCATTCATTTCGGCGCACCCCTCACACGGTTCGTGGCCCCACAGGGAGCTTCACCGGAGGCTCCAATGGCAGGGTCCGCATGCGTCAACGCCATTAATTCCAGCGCAACCCTCACAAGGTTCGTGGCCCCATAGGGAGCTCCACCAAAGGCTCCAGTGGCAGGGTCCGCATGCGTCAACGCCGCCTGTTTCGGCACTCTCTTCACACGGCTCCTGAGCTCCACCAAAGGCTCCAGTGGCAGGGTCCGCATGCGTCAACGCCACCTATTGGGCGCACCCCTCACACGGTTCGTGGCCTCATAGGGAGCTCCACCGAAGGCTCCAGTCACTGGAGCATTCGGTGGCAAAGTCCGCATGCGTCAACGCCACCTATTTTGGCTTACCCCTCACACTGTTCGCGGCCCCACAGGAAGCTCCACCGAACGCTCCAGTTGCAGGGTCCGCATGCGTCAACGCCGCATGTTCCAGCACTCTCTTCACACGGCTCCTGGTCCCACAGGGAGCTCCACCGAAGGCTCCAGTGGCAGGGTCCGCATGCGTCAACGCCAACCATTTAGACGACCCATCACACGGTTCGTGGCACCACAGGGAGCTCCACCGAAGGCTCCAGTGGCAGGGTCCGCATGCGTCAACGCCACTCATTTCGGCTTACCACTCACACGGTTCGTGGCCCCACAGGGAGCTCCACCGAAGGCTCCAGTGGCATGGTCCGCACGCGTCAACGCCACCCTTATGGGCCTACCCCTCACACGGTTCGTGGCCCCACAGGGAGCTCCACCAAAGGCTCCAGTGGCAGGGTCCGCATGCGCCAACGCCACTCATTTCGGCACACCACTCAGACGGTTCGTGGCCCCACAAGGAGCTCCACCGAAGGCTCCAGCGGCAGGGTCCGTATGCGTCACAGCCACCCATTTCGGCACACCACTCACACGGCTCGTGGCCCCACAAGGAGCTCCACCGAAGGCCCCAATGGCAGGGTCCGCATGCGTCAACGCCACTCATCTTGACCCCTCACACGGTTCGTGGCCCAACAGGGAGCTCCACCGAAGGCTCCAGTGGCACACGCCGCATGCGGGAACCGCCACCCATTTAGGGCTACCCCTCACACGGTTCGTGACCCCAAGAGGCGCCCAGACAGGCGCCGCGAAGCGCAGACGCAGCCCCAGGTATGACGATGTCTTGATTTTTTGAAAAAGCGGATCCTGGAAGTCCGACTATCTTCTGGCACCCTTTCCCCGTACCCAGAAGATCCGAAGCGGGGCATTTTCTAGCATTCGATGCAGGCTGGAGTGACCTGGGGACCTAGGCCACCTCGCGGGCACAATGATGAACCGGGCGGGCGCTTCGCGCCCGCCCACGCCTTGTCCGGGCGACGGCGAGGCGATGCAGCGGGCCTGGGTGCTTGCTCTGGCCCATCGGCATTGTCCACGCCCGGGTGCCAAGCCCTCCTTCGGCGACGGTGGACCTGCCGCGCCTCGTCAGGGATGGGTTCGACCTGGTGACGTGCGCGGTGAACCTGAAGATGGGGAGCGACTTATCGCTCCGCTGCTGGTGCACTCTCCACGCCGCCTCCGCCGCGCAGCAGCGCCTCGCCTTCCTCGACCCAGAGGCCCTGCGCCGCCGCGGGCATAGGGACATCCAGAAGATGACCCGCCGGGTTCGCAAATACGCGGGCCGCGGCTTCACTCTCCTGCACCGGTCCGCTGCCATTCTCCGCTCGCTCCTGCCCGGCGCCAACGACGCAGCAGTAAAGTTTTAGCTTGCCCGGAGCGGCAGCGCCTGGGACGAGCAGCGCGCGCCGCCGGGACTCTTTCGAAGCGACCAGCGCGCGTCGCGGGGACTCCGTGCTGCGCTCCGCGCGGCACCTCGCTCGCCCGTCACCCGCGCGCGTCGCCAGAACTCCTCCAGGACGACGGGCGCGCGTCGCGGGAACTCCGCGCTGCGCTCCGCTCAGAGCCGCGGCCATCGGGGCGCTAGGACAAAGCGGGGGGAAAGACGTGAGCATGGAAACAAAACGGCCGCGCCTGGGGATCCGGACACCGCGGGCCAGGCCGGCGAAGAATGCAACGTGCAAGGGAAACAACAAAGAGAGAGAGAGAGGAGAATGAGCTGGGAAGAAATTGGGGACAAAACCGCCACGCACGGGGCTTGGGCCACCGCGGGCTAGGGGGTTAGGGTGGCAGCACGCTGCGGAAACAGGGAGAGAGGAGAATGAAACGGGAAGAAAGTGGAGACAAAACGGCCGCGCACGGGGCTCAGGCCAAAGCAAGAAACCAAGAATGCCGCGCGCAACGGAAACAGAGAGAGATGATAATGAAACGGGAAGGACATGGACACAACACAACCGCGCACGGGGCCCAGGCCAAAACAATAAACCAAGCATAAGAATGCCACGCGCAACCTCAACAGGGAGAGAGGAGAATAAGCTGGGAAGAAAATGGAGACAAAACGGCCGCGCGAGGGGCTCAGGCCAAAGCAAGAAAACAAGCGTGCCACACGCAACGGAAACACAGAGAGGAGGAGGAGGAGGAGGAGGAGGAGGAGGAGGAGGAGGAGGGAGGAGAGAGGAGGAGGAGAAGGAGGAGGAGGAGGAGGAGGAGGAGGAGGAGGAGGAGAGGGAGGAGGAGGAGAGGAGGAAGGCGGAGGAGGAGGAGGAGGAGGAGGAGGAGGAAGAGGGGAGGAGGAGGAGGAGGAGGAGGAGGAGGAGGAGGAGGAGGAGGAGAGGAGGAGGAGAGGAGGAAAGGAGGAAAAATACGCTGGGAAGAACATGGAGACAAAACGGCCGCGCACAGGGGCCCGGGCCACCGCGGGCCCCCCCCCTCCTGCGTCTCTCACTTCCTTTTGCGGTGCTCGCAGCTGCACATGGTTGGGTCCTTCGCCAGGCTAATCTCACGAGGCGTTTCAACATTGGGCGGCAAGGGGGGGAGGGGGGGGCTCTGGCTCCAGACCTCTGCTTACAGGGCAGTTTTGAACACATGGGATGTGAGTTAAAACATATTGGATGTTTATAGTGCGTGATAAATTCATGCACAAATGCATGCATGAACTCATCGTTGTTCTTAATACTAAATCCCTGCATGTTTAATACATGATCCGCACGCGGAGCATGTATCAAAAACGGCACTGCAGTGCGACTGTTTGCAAGAGTGCGGCCTCTGGGGGAAAACTCCACCCGCTCGAAACAGGCGCCAAGAAAACAGCCAAGATCCACTCCATAGGGAGAAGGAGGAGGAGGAGGAGGAGGAGGAGGAGGAGGAGGAGGCGGAGGAGGAGGAGGAGGAGGAGGAGGAGGAGGAGGAGGAGGGGGAGGAGCAGGAGGAGGAGGAGGGGAAGGAGTGTTTTGGGGCCCGAAAAAAAAAACGATCACAACCTCATGTGCGCGCACGTCTCTGTTTCGCTCCTGACGGCAGGCTGCCCCCCCGTGGGCCTGACTCCCCGTGAGGGGCTTGGCTGGCCCCCGCCAAGCTGCCTCCCCCGCGAGCCCCTGCTCCTGCTCGAAGGATTGCAAAAAAGGATTGCAAAAAAAACCCTTCGGCTTTTTTTGCAGTCCTTCGTTTGTTTTGCAATCCTTTGCAATCCTGTTTTTTTTTGCAATCCTTCGTTCAGGGTTTTTTTGCAAAGCCCCCCCCTGGGGCGGGAGCGAGCCGCGTCGCGCATGAACTTGGTGGTCAGGTCCAGGATCTCCGGGGCCATCGTGGCGGAGAAGAGGCACACCTGGAGGGAGGATGACGACGACGACAACGACGACGACGACGACGACGACGGCGGCGACGACCCCGTCCTCATCCTCGTGCTCAGCCCCGTTCCCCTCATCCTCATCCTGCTCATCCTCCTCATTTTCCCCCTCCCTCTCCCTCTCCCCTCCTCCTGCTCTCCATCCTCCTCATAACCTACACCAGCACTGACCTCCAAGGATGGGAGGGCCCATTGGCCCTAGCCAGGAAGCGCCAGCGCTACACTACAATCCTATGTGTCTCACTTCGCCCTCATGGGGAGCGGCGAACCAGGAAAAGGAGGCAAAAGGGACAGCGGAGAAGAGGGGAGAGAAAGAGGGACAACGGAGGGGAAAGGCAGCCGAGGAGAGAGGGGGGGCAAGGTGAAGGAGGATTTGGGATGTTAGAGACAGGGAGGCGGACGGTGGCGGGATGCTGAAGTGCAGGGGAGCAGACGGCAACGAGGAATGGCAGGGGACAACATTGGAGAGGAAGGGAGGGCGGGCAAGGGAAGGAGAGGGGGTGGGGCCGAGAGACGGGCAGCAGCCATGGCCGAACGGGCAAGAGAACGAGCAGAAGCAGGAAAAGATCGGAGGTGGGACTGGGAGGAGTATCAGCAGCGGGAAGACAAGCAGGAAGAGGAGCAGGAAAAGTGGGAGTGGGAGGAGAAGAGCAATGGAAGGGGAGAGGAAAAAGAGAAGCAGGATGGGCAGCAGCAGCAGCAGTAGCAGGAACAAGCTGAAGGGCAGGACCACGAAGAGGAAGAGACAACCGCTGAACCATCCCACGGCACCGTTCCTGGGACTTCGTGCCAGAAAACTACTAACAGGACTTCAACACCGCAAATGAACGTGACTGTCGGGTCCTGACAGTCCTAAACCGGGCCAGCCATAGTCGATAACACAAAACATTGGAACTGCTGTACAATGTTATAAGGAATCTGCGCGACGCGAAGGTGAGAGCAACCGGCTGGAAAGGAATCGCAACACATCCGCGAAACCCTTGCAAGCATTTAAACGAATGCGCGCGGCGCGAAGGCGAGAGCCACATTTTGAAGACGACCCCCCGCCCTCCATCCCTGAAGCTGCTGCACAATTGTTGGACGAATGCGCCCGGCGCCAAGGCGAAAGCTAAATCTTGTAAACGACCAACCCTCCATCCGAGAAGGTCTTGCAAACTTCTAATACACTTCCTCGATCGGCCCTGCAAGCGGTGCGATGGCGGTGAAAGAGGGGGAGGGGGGCCTTGATGCTTCTTGCACGGGTGGTGGAGACGGGGGCAGGGGCCCGAGCCACTCCAAGAAACTTGATTCCCCAGGGTGGTGGGCGGGCTGTTCAAAATCGGCCGAGCGCCTGGCCACAAGCATTGGGCAAAGTGAGAGAATACATATTCGCGTTGACACACGGGGGCACATCTTCGAATGGCCCGGCAAACTCTGCGATGTAAGTAAAAATATGAGAATGACGTTAACGCCTCTTTCACGGGTGGCGGCGACGGGGGCCCTGTAGCGGAGGGGCCTGAGCCAATCTCAGAAACCTCCCTCTAACGGTGAAAGTGGGTCACCGATAAGAAATGGGGCGGAGGCCTGGAAGCGCCGGGGGCTTGGTCCCTGGGCCCCCCCACAGGACGACGCTAGCGTCGAGGCCCGCCGGCCGCGCCTCCCCGGCTCGCCCCGCCACGCAAGCGCCGCCGCCGCCCCGCCGCGCAGCGCCGCGCAGGGGGGGCACGGGCGCGGTCTTGAAACCCTTCCCACCTTCCACTGGGCCAACTGCGGCAGGGGGGGGCCTCTTTCAGCCTTGGATCCCCCACCGCCGCCGCGGCGGAAAGAGAGGGGCCCACAGGGTCGCCCGCCCCGCGGGGGCGCCAACCGATGTCGTGAACGACGTGCTGGGTGATGCCGTCGCCGCGGCGTCAAGCGCGCGCGCCCGCGCCCCTCCCGGCCGCGCCCTGCCGCGGGCGCCCTTCCCTTGGCGGCCGCCCCCCCCCCCCCCCCCTTCGCCGATCGGCTCGTGGAGCCCCATCGGAGGCCCGTCTCGTCAAGCGCGTGCCACTTCAAGTCCGCGGGCGCCGCCTGGATCGCGAGGGGCCCGTCGAAGTCCGACGTCTTCGCGTCGCTGAGATCGCCCGCCTCCTGGTTCTCCTCGCGCGGTAGCCAGTCCCGGCTCAGCGCCATCGCGCGTGACCTCAGCCCCTCTGAGGAGCTCGATGGGGGGGGGGGGGCCGCCAACGGCCGCTTCGTCGACGCGGCCCTGCTCGCCGCGCAGGCGTTCCCCAGGGCGTCCGTCGACCCTGCGATCTCGAGGTCCCCCCTCTGGCGGCCCCCCTGGGCTTTGCGAACAGCTTCGACCGCGCCAGGGTCGCGCCCGGGTGCGAGAGCGCCGCGACGACCCCGTTCGGGCCGTTTGCCTCGGCCCGCGGGGCCCGCGCCAAGGGAGGCAACTTCTTTAAACTTCCAGCGCGCGCCAGCGAGCCCCTCGCGCGCCGCTGGCCGGCGGCGCCCCCCAGCCGCCCACCCAATGGCGCCCCCCCTCCGCCCCCGCAGCCAAACAGGAGCGAGCCAGGCGCGCGCCGGCCCCGAGCCCCATGCCAGGGCCGCCGCCGCGAAGCCCGGGCGCCTCAAACCCGACGCCAGCTCGCCCGCATGGACGGCGCCGCGTTCGACCGCCCCCTTGAACCAGGCCGTTGCCCAAGCCGCCCTCGCCTCTGAGAGGCCCACGGCGCACTTGGCGCAGTCGCGGTGGAGGCCGACCCAGTCCACCCCGAGGCCGCCCCGTGCTCTGACCCTTGTCACTGGAACACCGAAGACGCCGAATAAGATGACCAGAGCGCTGCCAGACGCCCTCCTTTCCCAGCACCGATCGCCTCCGCCTCGTCGGCGTAGGTGACGTCTTCTACTGGCCAGTCGTCTCCAAAGAGGAAGAATATCGCCCATTGTGCGCCGCCGAAGATCCTGGTCCAACATTGCGACGCACTGGCGTCATAGGTGTCCCGGGTGTTGCAGCACACCTCGCCCTCGAGAGCGCAGGCCAGCCTGCCCCGTTCGCCTACGCGGATCTTGACGAGCCGGCGCGCCCCCGCGACGTCGGCGACGAGCCAGAAGGTGACATCGCGCCAGTCCCCGCAGGAGCTCAGGAAACACTTTTCCTCTGCAGACCTCGGCGCCCCCTGCCGATTCCAGCATCGAATCCTATGGTCCACGGCGATCTCGCGTTCGCCGTCGCGGACGAATCCCTCCTCGCCGCTCGCGTCTTCCAGGACTACCAGCGCGGCAATGGCACAATTGTCGTGGAGGCGGTTGCGCAGCTGCCCCTTGGACATCTGGATCATCCCGCCCGCTTTCACTTCGTCCGCGAAATGTGATCGGAGCCGTCCGCCGCGGTCTTCAACGCCGCTGCAGTTGGTTGCCTCCGGGGCGGCCCAGTCGGCCGCCTCCAAGCACGACTTCGCGATTTCTTCGAAGAGATCCCCCTGCCGGGGCATCTCGCACAACGCGCCCGCTGCGAATCGCGCCACCTGCTCTCTCAACGACTCCGCGTCTGGGCTTCTGGTTCCGCGTTGAAGTGCCGCTAGCACACGAACGCGCGCGGGCTGCCCCCCGGCGGCGCGGCCCAAGTCGCCGCCGCGGCCAGCCCGCCACTCTGCCCCCAGCCAGCCGCCGAGGATCTTCCTGGCCGCCTCGCAAACCCCCGCCCTCGCTAGGTAGGAGGAGGGCTTGCTCTGGTCGGTGCCGGCCTGGCCCAGCGCGAACGGGGCGCGTTCTGCGGGGCCCGCCAGCCCCTGGCCCCCCCCGGCGGGGCAGCTGCGAGGGCACCAGCGGCGGAGAGGCCCCGCGCGACCCACCGAAACGGGCCCCCCCACCACCCGGGTGCGAGCGAGTCAAAGGCCACGCCCGCGTGCTGACGGGGCGCCAGCCGAGGGCGGCGCCCGCGCGGGAACTTTCCGCTCCCCCGCGCGATGGCCCCGAACCCCGTCGACCTGTGGAAGCCCCCCACGTCGACGACGTCCGCCCTGCCCGCGGGCCCCCGTTCGCCGTTGGCGGAGGGGGCCCCGGCGGGAGGGGGCGCCATGGCGTCGGGCAGGGAGGGCCCCGCGGCAGACGGGCAGACCGCGTCGAATGTCACCACCGCTCTTTTAAACCAGGGTTGTTGGTCCGCAACCATTCAGCTCGAAAGGCCTTGAGTGAGACCCGCATTGTCTCCGGCGCAGACTGGGGCGGACCCCTGCGCGCCCTCCGCGAAGCGGCCAGGGGGGCGCCTCGACGGAGCGCCGCCGAATGCACTCACGCAGAATGGGCAGGATAATGCGCCCGCACGGCGGCCGAACTCGGACCTGCGTTTCCTCTTCGCGAAGGAGGGCGTTCCGGAGCGCGCAGGCGCTGCTGCGCACCTGCGAAGTGACGAGCGCGGGGGAGCTTGCCCACGCGATGAACTCGGGCGACGACGCCCAGACGTTCGCCAAAAGGAACGCTCGAACTGGACGCGGAGGTCGGGATAGAGCGAAGGCGGCAGCACTGGCGCGCGCGCAAGGCCGACGCGCACCAAGGCGCCAAGCTATTGGGTGTAGCCAATCACCTGGCGACGCGGCTGGAGTTCTAGAAGGCAGTCTGGAATCTCGAAGAGAGCCAGAAGCCGGCAAAGTTCTACCTCGAGATCAGGCGGGTGGAGATCGAGCGGGGGACTGATCAGGTCGGCGGCGCCCACGGCGGTCTGCTCGGCCGACGAGGATGAGGGCTCCGACCCCGCGACACCGCGTTGGTCCAGCTCGAGGGCGATGCAGTTCAGGGCGGCTGCGGCCGTCAAGTTCGAACCCCCGCAGGGCCCAGAAGCGCATCGGAAGTGCGCGGTGTTTCTGGGCAGGGGCATAATCATGCTAGGCCAGTTGAACGCGAAAAGGCAGGAGCTGCAGGGCAGGGGCCCACAGCGGCCCCAGGCGCATTGCGACTACGCGTTAGGGAAGCACGCATGGAACCTCCCGGCAAGCAGCGCGCAGGGCGACGCGGTC